GCGATAGCGTCGATGATGACGATGACTCCTTAGGAGCCATCGCGTCACATGCCGCTGTCGTCATCGCCTTCGCCGTCGTCGTTGTCGGTGACAATGGTAAGGCCCAGGACGGCGGTGAAGGCGACAGAGGCCGAGCCGAGCTTGCCTCATACAATATACTGGTAGATCGCTGTTTCGATGGAGCGCGCCGAACAGCCCATGCAATAAAGCCCGAACGATGCTCTGACGCCGCTGGTGGCTGCGACGGATTGCCACGGACGGGCAGCGGCGGCGGCGGCAGCGGCGGCTCTGCGCCATCCCCGGATGCCGTACTCGCCGTATCGCGAGGGATCCATGTCATATTGATTTGAGGCGCCGTAGTGCTGGTGCCTAATTTGAGGTTTGGCTGGGAGGGAGCGCTCCTAGAGAGAGTGAAAGAGCCGCCGCCGGCGGCAGGTGAGAACGATAGCGCGCGGCGGCCCCACTCGGCCGGGGGTGGGGCGGCACGGCCGCCTATTAGCGGGGGTTGCAGGGGCTGTGGCGGCGGGAGGTTGACGTGTCGAGCCGTGAAGCTGGCCGAAGTACCACGAATGCAGAGCGCTGACTCCAGGTTGTTTTCTGGGGTCATGACCGAGGCCGTACGGTGTACGGCGCACAGCGTCTTAAGGCGCCGTGTGGAGAGCTGCGAGACGGATCGATTCGGGGATGGGGAGGGCAGATTGAGAGCTGGGGTGAAGGGGCTAAAGTTCAAGGGCTGTCATGAGCCGAGACGGGGTGAAGTCTATGGCGATGAAGGATAACGACGTTTGTATCCCAACAGACAAAACCGGAGAAACCAGAACACGAGGCGGCGGCATCGGACAATCGCTTACTACCTTCTTTGCAGCTAGTATTATGTAAAGCAATGGGAAACGTGAAGACGCAATGCCTAGCAACCTACAATTTGCGCAACTGGCTAGAAGCTGCGAACCGCACAAGCCGGAGTTCACAATTTGAACAAAACCGAGCCCAGCCTAGACAGGCTGCTTACGGATTCAGTGAAAGGGCTCTCATCTTCTTCATCCTTGTAATCCTCGTCTCCTTCATCTAAAGCGAATTCGAGGGGTTGCATTGTCGTGAAATTCACAGTTTTGAGACTGGCGCCTTGACAGGTGGCGGAGCCAGATGCAGCTTGAGAAGCAGCCAACAAAGCCTCCAATTCGGCCATGAGGGCGTTGCAGCGATTTTCATCCTCGTTCAGACCATCGAGAAGCTGAGCTGTCTCCTTGATGACCACACTTGCGCGGCGATTTTCGTGAGTTCCTTTCGGAAATCCAGCTCCTGCATAATTACGTGATAAGAAAGCTTATGAAGGACTATGGAGTTGTGGAGCGAGGTGTCTGTGCGAAAGTGCATGCTGCGGTTCTCCATCGTGCTGCGGTGCAAGAGGAAGAAAACGACAGATTTGCAGCTCAACCTGTAACTATTTACGAAGTTGCATTTTCGCACCAATCCAGAGCAGGACCAACGCCAAGTGTTGTGAAGATAGGGAGTACCTTCATGTATGCGCCCTTCCATCTTGGCCGATGTGAGATTTTGCTATGTCAGGTGTGTCAAACATAATAGTAAGCTGCTATCTACTCATCTCTGAAGTCCTGCAGTGTAGTGCAGTTGTGATACGGTACCCTGCGACGGAAACCCAATACGGCCAGCTGTAGGTCCCCTAGCGACTAGTTCTTTATTATAATATTATGATGTGCTTTTAAACATGGATGCATAACATATATGTGCAATGCAAATGGCGTTTTTTGTAATACGACATATCACTGCATTAAACCTGCGTTCCGAACCTGTGGGGCGATGTACACACCAACAAAAGCTCTTGCATTAAGTTACATTTCATCCTTATTGTTTATGCAAGCCCCTTTGTTATTATAGGCTTCAGTTCTCCATCGCCGGTACGGTGCGCCGACCTACCAGCTTGTTATATGCTAAAAATTTTGATGCGAAAGATTTTGAACTATAAGTATTTTTCATATTCATACCTATATTTCACCGTATACATGTGCATGGCGAAGAACGTAGCGTGCCAAGAAGGATTGTGCCAAGAAAACACCGCTCCCCGGGACGCGGCAATCCACCAGCTGGGCCGGACAGAAGCTCAATTAAAAATTAACAAATGGTTAGAACAACTCAAGTTATCCTGATTGAGGCGTGCGGCGCGGCGACTGCATGTTACCGGAGGAATAGATGTACAGCAGACACTTCTTACGGACCGTATCATCAGCTCACCCTAAGCAACAGCCCGCGGGCCTTAGTCCGAGCACTCAACCTCCAACCATCCACACCTATCAAACACATTCTTGACGGACCTGCACGAACTACCGGCTGACTCCGGCAACGCTTACGCGTTTACAACGTGGCATTGATCGCCATCAACAGACCTTGCAGACCTCCACAACGACGCGGCAACGAAGCTCTGTCATAATACCATCGCCCCATCGCAATCAATATTTGCATTAACTTCAACATCCGGAAACCACCAACTTCGCAAAAGGGAGCCCTGATGCCCTGATGCCCCCTTGGAGCATTCACCTCCATGTGGAACCGCCAATGTAACGCATGCGCGGGAGCCATCGCGCCATGCAGGCACCGATTCCGTCGCGGCAAAGTCGGTCAAAGGCCACCAGGCGCTAAGAGGGGCTAAGAGGCGGCCAAAAGATCCCGTGCTACGGGCTGGAGCGTAGACGTGGTGGGGCCGCTAAGGTGCCGCCGGATATCGCGCTTCTCAATTTTCCCTTATGTCGACGCCCACCCGGGCTTGTTAGCCCGTTCCCTTGAATGGCTTCAATGCGTTACCTGTGGTTACTTAGGGTTTACCTGGAACTTGTGGAGCCATCAATATATTGTTGAGTACCAGGACAAGTTGATGCAATTGTGATACAGATTTTGGTGGCGCTCCGGAGACCTGGGACCACCCGCCCTGAGCAAAGCACCGACGCGCAAACGTGAAAGAACATCATAAACACCGTCAAAATTAATTACTCCCCACGTTGGAAAACAATACGTGCTTTACGAGCCCCTCGGAGGTAGCAGGCTGGCTTCTTAATTCGCCGCGTGTTGGCAGTGTACTGCATATGCACATTATTGGTGCTACGCAATTTGGTGCCAATCAATTTTCCATGCCTAAGGGCTTTTCCCACTGGCACAACATTAGTGACCTTCCGCCAATTGCATAGCACCAATATAACGTGGCAGTACGGCAGTTACATGCCTCCGAGTTTCTACACTAATCGCATTTTTGTCCAATAAACTGTTGTACGGCACCGCCCTCATCGTCCTCAATCCACGCTGAACGACGACCTGGTGCGCGTGGGCGCTCCTGCTACTTTTAAAGATCGCTGCTGGACAATCGTGCGTTGTTTAGGGAGCTGGGTCAATGACCTGGGCCTCCCTCCCTTGCCATTTTTGGGACAGCCCTCGTCCTGGCGTGCAGTTTGTGTTTTATGATGTTCTGCGTGAGCTTGTCTTCCGGTGCGCTCTGATTTTAGTGCCACTTTCTACTAGCCGAGTAGTAGGGCAGACAACGCTTACTCTTGGAACAATGTTAAAATGACCAATGGTGTGATCCTCGCCCTCACTCAGACGACCTGGTTTTCGCGGGCGCCATAATGATGATTACCGCCGCGCATTTTTGATGCTTCAATGTTTGTGTGCATGGATTTCTTCCTTAGGAGGCAAGATCAGGCATAACCATGTACAACAACTTCTACAGTTAACGTATGGGTGTGGATAGCCCTGGGGTGATATGACGCTGCTCCACTGCGATGCCAATTCATTTCACTCCCCCTGGTCATTCATTCAACAAGAACTCGGCAGCACAGAGGTGCGCGCTTTTTTTCAAGCTGCGCGCTTGCCCGCAGGTTCGACGCGTCCTTCTTTGTCACTCATGTTCAATGGTTTGGAGTGAGGTGGCAACATCTTGTGTGACGTGCACGTGTATTGCTGTGTGGGACCGGACAGACAGACAGACAGACAGCCAAACAGACAGACAGACAGACCAGGAGAACGCTGCTTTCCCCCCCTCCATCACGAACGCAAGGCCCCCTGGAGCGGGTTTGGACCAAGGCTGTATGTTTAGGACTCCCAGCATCACCTTGCAACACACATACAATTGTACACACATTTTTCTACACACACAAACAAACACACACACACACACACAGTCAAAAGGATAACCAAAGTCCGCAACATCGCCGCTGGAAGAAGAAACGGTCTAGCATCGAAACACGCCGATACAGGGTTACGCACATCGGCGGCAAGTGAAAAAATTAGGTATTGTACAAATGCTAAGAGCAACACAAAAATGGTCACCAATACACCTCGGAGCATATCAATATCATATATCGTGTCATGGTATGACCATCGTATCAAAACAGAGGTATCGCATCACCTCACCCACCACCCCAAAACACTGTGGTTAGAAAACCATGGCTAGAACAACAGGGGCGGACAGTCCGGATCGTATCGGGGGCCGAAGGGGTTGAAGGGATCCGCACTCGAGACAACCAAAACAACAACCAACAACCAACGACCAGGCCCCAGTTGAGAGCGCGGAAGGGGCACGAGGGTGCATATGAATCCCACACAAATGGACACAACTACTACCCTATCCAAACAGTCGCTTAGTTTAGTCCAACCAACAACCACCCCCACCGTATAAAAAGCCGTACAAACATCATAAATTTAAAGGGCGTCCTTGTCCTAAGTCCTCACGACATCAACAGGTGTATGAAGACGTGCAAAAGATTGCCAGCCGTAATGCTTAAGGCGTAATCTCAGCGCCCTGCACCATCACAGCAACGCACTCGACACGCCACAACGCCCGCGCCTCTCTCTCTGTCTCTCTCCCTCCCTCCCTCTCTCCCTCCCTCTCTCCCAACCCAATCCCCCCGCTCAACCAAACCCACGGAGCGCAACCCGGACTGACTGCCATGGCCACGCAAGGCCCCACAAGTCAACCCCTCAGGCAGTGACAGGGCTCAAAACGGCCACAGCCGCTCCTCAGGAGATCTGGAGGCGTCTGCGTCCGCGTCGGCGGGGGGTGGGGGGGTGGGGGGTTGAAAACCCAACTGCCGCCAGCGGCATATACTCCGGCTGCAGCCCCGGCGCACAGGCGCCGTACATTCTGCACCGCGGCGGCAGCAGAGGCAAAGGCATGACGAGACGGTGAGGTCCCCCAGCCGTATCACCATTGACCCTTCCTTCTCCTCCTCCTCCTCCTCCTCCTCCGCGGCTACCCTCCTAGCTCCGCACGCACACGTATCCCTCCCGCTGCGACTGCCACTCCCCTCAGACAGCTTCAGAACCCCCGGAAGCCTCTCGCAGTCCGCTCCCGCTCCCGCTCCACTCCCGGCCTGCTGCTACCCCTGCTGCTGCTAATGCAGCTCTTAATGCTGTCGCTGTCGCTGCTCGTGTGGTTTTTGCTACCGCTCTCTTGCTTCATCTTCATCTTCTTCTTTTACTGCTGCCTCTGCTGCCGCCGTTGCTGCGGCTGATGGTACCTCAGCTGCTGCTGCTGCCGTTTCCGTTGTTGATGCTTGTATTTCGGGTCTGCTCCCCGTTACGATTCCCCCGTCTGGGCCGCCATCTCCAGGTGTACATGAGCTCGAGTCGGGACCTGGACAGGGGGCTCTTGGAGGGTGCGCCGGCGTCGGTACCGCTGCCGTGCGGGGCTCCTGCGCCGCCGTTGAAGCCGCCGCCACTGCCACCGGCGCCGTCTCCGATGTTGGAGCTGTCGCTGCTGCCACTGTCGCTGCCGGGGGCTGCTGCCCGAAGACCCCATCCAGCTCCACCGCGAGGGCCGCGTCGTCGCCGGGGGCTACTGCCAACATAAGGCCCACGTGGCCAGTGTTATCGCCTCGGTCGTCGCCTCCGCCTCCGCCTCCGCCGCCACCGCCACTGCCGCCGCCAGTACCCGGCCCCAGGGCGCCGTCCTGCTGCTGCTGCTGCCCCCCCTGTTCTTGCTCTGCTTGCTGCTGCTGCCGCTGCGGCTCCCCTCCCCGCGGCGCCTCGCCGGGGACGCGCCAGGATATGCGCTGCACGGTACGGGAAAAAAGGTTCGTTGGGGTTTTCAGTTGGGGTTTGGAATTCCGCCCCCAACGTAACGCCTTCCCGGGCAGTTTCCCCCCCCCTGTAAATCTCGCCTACCAGCCTCGGGAGGCTCTTTCCCACCCGTGGCCCTTATCGTGACTGGGACCTTGCCAGACCCCACCCCTCGCTCTCCTCTGCTCCTACTCCATGCAACCCAGCGGCCTGACTTCCGAGCTCCCCTCTGAGCGCGTTCTCCTTCCTCCTCCTTCCCGCTCTCCGCCGGGTGCTTCGGACCGGAGCTGGTGTCGCCGTACATGTTTCCTTGGCTATATGTGTATGTATGTATATATATACAGAAATGATAATATATATAATATACATACATACATACATACATACATACATACATACATACATACATTCAATGCAGCGCCAACCCCGGATGGAGTGGCTGCGGAGTGGCTGCGTAGAGTGTTGGCAATCTGAGTCGGGGTCGGGAGCACACAAGACTAACCGACTTGTGCTGTGTGCTCCCGACCCTTGCGCTGTGTTTCGGCTTCGGCCCCCGGCTCTCGCGGCCCACAGTGTAATCTAAGTCATACATACATACATACATACATACATACATACATACATACATACATACATACATACATACATACATACATACATACATACATACATACATACATACATACATACATACATACATATCATATATATGAATATGTACATACCATATATACTTCCCCACCCAGCTCCTGCAACATGCTGACCTCCGGAAAGCCACTTCCTGCTGGGCCTCCCAAACCTTCAAGCCCCCACACACCCGAGCCGCTGACGTGTCTGAACAGCCATACCCCCTCACTGGGAAGGTCTTCAGGTGTCTTACATCACATCGGCTACACCTGCCCCGCCTACACAACGCACTCCCCGGCCCGGCCTTCCGCCCGACCCTCTGCCCGGGGCTCTCTGCCCGGGCCCGGGCCAGCAGGATGTCGTACCACCTGCTGATGTCTCCGCCGCCGCCGTGCCTCCTCCCGCCGCCGTACCTCCTCCCGCCGCCGTACTTCCTCCCGCCGCATGCGCCTCGTCGCCAGCGCTCGTGACGCCCACGCCAGTCCCACCCACGCAGCCACCAGCACCACGGCGCAGCTCGTGAGGGCCGCCAGGACGAGTGTGGCGATGTGCCAGCGGTCGCGTCCGGGGACTAAGGCCAAGCAAAGTGAGGGGGAAAGGGCCCCCGGGGGAAAGACGAACCACAAACGAGTGAAGCTGCTGCCAGGGCAAGAGCGTACCAGACCCCCCCCGGGGGAAGGGGGGGAGGGAATGAATACAACAACTGCTGGTGTCGATTGCTTCTCGGCTGCCGAGAGAGGACCAGCTGCAGAGAGATGGGGGGAGGGAGGGAAGAAGGGAGGGAGGACCTACCCTACCTACTCTACCTACTCTACCTACCTGTCCACACACCACCACACACCAACACCACCATCACCCCCCCCACACACACTTACCACTCCGGATACTAGACGCCCCGATGGTGTAGTAGCCCCCCACAATTGCCACGTCATCTCCCATGGAGCCGCCGTACACACCACCTGACGACGCCGTCACAGTACCGACTCCCCCTTCCTGATACCCGTACGGCGATGACGTCAGCGCCAAGTCAGCAGTCAAACGCTGCTCCCAAGTTAGGTTCCGGAGCGAAGCCGGAAGCATCGACCGACATGACACCGGCGCATCTCTCGCCAGCCAGTCACCCAGATTGTACCGACAGCTGCCGGCGTCGTCGCCGGCTCCGTCGAATCTGCCCGTACTACCGTCCCCAGCCCCGCCGCCACCGCTGTTGTCGTCGAAGCACGGTAGGTAGAAGAGTTCCTTGAGTATGAGGATGTCGTCGGGGCGGGGGGAGGGGCGGCTGGAGGGGGAGG